CTAAAATCACCACTTTGAAATCGTCGAAACCATTCTCTGCAAGATTTATCCGACGGTGCAGATTCACCATAAACTTCCACAAGCATTCGATGCGCTTCAGCTGCACTTTTCTTCCAATTGAAACAGAAAATCAAAACTTCCCGCAAATGGTGCTTATTTGGAACGAAACTCATTTTCGACATTTTCAACGCAGTAAAAATTAAACTTGTTGTGCAAAACTCAAAGGCTTGTAAACAATATTTGGTTGAAAGATGTTGACACTTCACGATACAGCAAAAATCAGCTGTCGCCGTCAACCATTTATAGCACCTAGAGCCATCTTTTGAAAACGGACCGAACTAAGTTGTACACCCAATATATATATAATGGCAATATTAAAATTATCACATTATGTATTATTTCAATAATTCAAGTATTAATTTTAATAATATCGCTATTAAATCAAGAATATATACTACAATTACGCGTGCTGTTGAAAATTTTATTGATTCAACAAAAGAAGAGAGAACCGTCCGTCCAACTACGATGTCAGAAAGACAATAGACGTTCGGCGGCACATCGAGCGACGCTGACACGGCAGAGATAAAAGACTAACGTTAGTAGGCGCACTATGGTCTTTTAAACCAACTGCTAAAAACGTATCAAATTTCACATAGAAATAAGCGCGTCTACGCCGTCTATTTCTCCATGCTATACGAGAAAACATCAAAGAAAATTACGTAAAAGCGAAAATACGATAATGTCAATAGATTAGATGATATAAGTAGAAAACGAAAAAGTACAGGGAAATGACCGATACGCGCCCACTCCCGGGTTAAGTGAGCTGAATAAATGTAGACTATTTTTGTATGAATTCTATACTAAAATATAGTTACATGAATGTGTCGACGTATATCAAAATGCTTGGTGTAATCTTTCAGATAATTCAAAACCTCTTGATGACTCACGCAACTAGGTTCTTGCGCTTCCATTGTCATATAATCCGGGAAGTTCATAATCCTTACGGGTAAATTAGTTCTAGACAAACATAAGAAACAATTTTATATCAGTATCCTCATAAAAAAAGTTATTTTAAAATCGAACGTTAAATTTTCTCATCGCAACTATTCCAGGTAGAACAAATAGACAAAATAATGACAATCTCCCATCATTTTCATAAAAAAATAACATAAATTTAGTCAATTTAGTCAAAATGACGTCAGATTAATATTATTTTGACTATCTGTTCTACCTGAATATCTTCATTAGTGTCATCAGAAGCGAGAAAATACGTACTTAAAATTTCTGCAAAATACATCAAAATAAAGATACATTTATAAAATAAGATATGCGATTAATAAAACAAATTTATAAAATCAAAAATTCTTTTTTAATTTCAATAAATAATCCTAAATATAAAGTAATATATATATATATATATATATATATATATATATATATATATATATATATATATATTTTTTTTTTTTTTAATATTTTTAATATGTTACAAATATCAGTCAAATATGTTACAAATACTCAGTCAAATATTATTTGATGAACATAATCCAGATAGCAGACAGTCGTCACGATTTCGTAACTTTTACATTGAATTTAAAATTCAACGTAAAAGATCATTACATCATTTATTCCTAAAGTTAGTTTGAAAATAACATATTTTTGACGGTCCTGAGTCGCAGACCAAAGACGTCAGTAGAAGTGACCGGGTTTGTTACACTTTTTACTTATTGATAAAAATAAGACGGTGTATGTAATATTTCAGAATGTTGAGTACATTATAATATAGCTACATTCTTTAGGTACAAGAAAAAAAATATGAGCCGTATTTATACTTATGCACAAAGAAATTATAGAGAAATTATAGAAATTATACAGTCGTAAGCAAAATAGGAAAAATGTAATATCTCACCCTATACCCTCAAGTCAATTGTCACATGTCTTCTATATGCAGAAAACAAAAATGCAACAAATACGAGAGTGAATTAATTAGTATCCATGTTTGCAGATAGATGGCATTGCTGAGGAAAGTTGGCATTACCATCGTGTACTATCATCTTTCAAATGACGTCATATATGTCTATCAAATGACGACATTATGATTTCAGCAATATTCATCGAAAATCAGCAAAATCGTCGTAAATTTCAGCAATATTCATTCAGCGAAATTTCAGCGAATTTCAATAAGTTTCAATAAAATTCAATAGAAAATCATTGAAATTTAAAATCAAGAAAAATGTCCCATACAGCACAGTAATGTTGAATCAATTTTCTTCATGTCTCATATAACTGCTAGAAATCAAAGATTGTCAAACACACTTTAAAACTTTCGCGATCTCCCTCGATAATTTCGAATCCGAAACGGTTATGCCTGATTGCCCATTCATGCCTCACTTTGTTAAAGGTGTGCCTAACCTGATGTCGCGCGGCACGCGGTGATGCCAATGACTCCAACGATGTTCTTACAGTTTATGTTTATATTATATAATGTATACTTATAGTATTCACCGTATATTTTAACGTACCTAGGAAATTCGCGCGTTGATTCGACAATATATTTTATTTAATATCTCTAAAGTTTATATGGTTATTTGCAAAATGACTTCGACTATTCTTTTCAATTTAATATTTTTTATGCCTTTTTTGTTATCGATACAGCTTGCGTCAGACTCTATATATAGAGAATATTATGAAATAAAAGAATATTCTTTATGGTTTGCGCAAAATTGCTTAAATGCATTTCAATTTTATAAACAATAAGAAAAATATATATAATTATATATTGTAATATAATATGGTATATTGTAATATAATATAAATAATACATATGTATTAATATAATAAAATTTAATAATAATTTATTTTATTATTATTATTTTTATATATTAATAATATAATTTTCAATGTTCCTCAAATATAGTTACAACATTGCAAAATATTGTAATTTTTGTTCAATATACATTCAACATTGCAGTTGTATCTGGTTATCAATGTTGAAAAATCAACATAAATTTCATGCAGGAAAACATCCGCACTTTTATCTTCAATGTTGTATCAACGTCTCATCAACGTTCTTTCAATATTTTGTGCTGTATAGGTATTATTTAACATGTTTATCATTGTTATGTTAGCACTGGTCCATACGGATGTTTAGGACATGAAAGGCAAAAATTTATATTTATATATATATATATATATATATATATATATATATATATATATATATATATTTATGTTTATGTGTCTCATGTACTTGTATTATAATAAATATGAACATTTTCACTACAATAAGTATAGTACTTCTTTAAATTTGTAATCATTTTTTTAAAGATACACATACATCTAATTAAATAGACTATCTTTGTAAATAATATTAAATTTCATATATCTTTTAATCTACAAGTAAATATTACATGCTAATTAACGATTGCTCTAAATGCAATATTACATACAAATTAAGAATCGTATGAATTAATCTTAAAATATAATGAAGAAATCAGATTTCCATATTATTTCAGTAAAGTTCGATATATTTCAGTAATTTTCATCGACATTTTAATGAGAGAATTTTCATATTCTAACATGTAAAAAATAAAAAAATTACATTTTAATACATTAGTCAATTATCATCAATTATCAGCGAAATTCGTTATTTAGTCAAAACTTTTCACGAAGTTTTTCATTGATCAATAAATGAGATACATTAAGTACTCATTTACAATTTTTTATAAATTGTAATTCTTTCATCAAGTTTCAGCGCAATTCAGCAAAATTTTTAAAATTATTGAGAAATGTTTTTACGAATTTTTTTCATCATTATTTCAGCAAAGTTTCAATACAATTTACTCAGTTTTCATTACAATTCAGTAAATTTCATTAAATATTTCATTAAATATTTCAATATTTTTTCATTACTTTTCATCAATATTCATTAAAAATTCATTGTTTTCCCACACTTTTCACTACAATTCATAATGAAAATCATGATTCATGATGAAATATTTTCAGCAACTTTTCAGTAACTTTCATTTCTCATTTCAACGATTTCATTGAATTTTCAACAATTTCATTGCATTTTCAGCAAATTTTTTCCATCAGGGTGCAGCACATAATTTAAATTTTTTTGCAGTATTCCCTCAAGGACTGACTTAATTATTAATTAATGAATTTAAGGAAGGTACTACAAAGATATACAATAAATTTGTTGAATAAATTACTGGCAAAGTAATAATAATAAAACTGTTAGTTACAATTTTCCGCTCGACCATGTAAACAGTTACATGGTTGAGATGGAAATCATAACGCACAATTATGTTACTGTTATTTTGTGTTTGCTGAGTTGTTTTGGGAAATTTATTATGTATATATAAATGTCACACAAATCATTTTATATGCTGTATAATTTTATCATAATTTTATTATCTAATTTATCTAATATTATATTATGATATAACATATATGTTATAAATTTTGTGCTGCATTTCTGCCTCGTATCTACCGTTGCTTTCGGACGCACGTCATGATCAATTTCTGTTCCTGCTGTTACGTTCAAGCGGCATGTCATGATCGATTTTTGCTGTGTTTCTACTGTCACGTTCAAATAGCTGACCATCCGCCACAGAAGGAGGAGGGCATACTAGGTGACGGCGGGACGCCGTGCGTTTGAGATCTGCGTATCTTTTCGTTCCAGACAGAGAAAAATATCGAGAGCGCGGTTCTGCTAGGCCGGGACTGGAACCCGGGTCTTTCGCTTGCCAGGCGACTGTTCTAAACCACTGAATTACCTAACACTCCACGCTCACGACACTCTCCTCTCCCTAGATAACGCTCAGAGATGCCGTTCGAAAGCGACATCTCTGGCGCGATCCCGAGCGCATGGCGACTACAGAGAGAAACAATGCCTAAATCCGCCTGATCGATTTCTGCTGCGTTTCTGCCTTCTCAAAATGCCACCTAGTTAACTTCATTTTTAACGACTTCCTGCTCACATGATGTTACGTTATTCCATGTTCGATTTTATGCTGCTTTTTG